CTTAAAGCAGGGAAGGCGATGCATATCATTTTGAAAATACCTCAACTCAATTTCCAAACCTTTTAAGTCACTTGGACTGAAATCAGCAGGATAGAATTTCTCAACAAGTTTACATAGATGCCTAATATTGAATGATTTGAAGGAATTACGAGGATCCAATACTGAGCTAAGAATAAGAAGTTCAACTGTTTGTTCTGGAAATCTGTCATTTAACATCAACATGCAATCTATCACATCATTAAATACATCAATGCGATAGTAATGTTTAACTGTAATAAAATCTTTTTGTCATATAACAAGAACTCATATCAGGAACATCAATACCATGTTGTTCATTCACCGAATATTGGCATATTTGAAGACGTAATCCCGAATCACGCTCAAGATAATTGATATTAAAATCTTGACCACTATCAACTCTTTGAGTCTCAACTCTTTCAACTTGAGGCTCGACAATGGGAGAAGAGAGAAGATTTGGCTCATCACAAATGGGAGGCATTCTAGAAGATGATGACCCATCATTCTTTTTCTTAAAAAAAGAGAACAAATTCTTTGTTTTCTTGGGGTTTCGATTGTGATCCGACATAATAAAAGATAACATATTTAATCAAATATCCCAACAAAAAATCAAACAATTTCTCATAATAGCATCAATGAATTTAGTCAAACATTAACAGACCAACAACAAATCAAACATCTCAACAATGCCAACATCAAATCAAACATCTCAACAAAATTCTTAAAATCAAAGACCTAATTAATTTCAAAAAAATCCCCAAATTATATTTCATTCCTAATTAAACCCTAGAAAACTCAATTTCAAATTAAAATTAAAACTAAGATGCATACATTTATTTTAGGAATAACCCAATAGAAGAAGATAATTAAAGAGAAGAGATTAAGAAGAATACTTGTTTCCTTGTATATGAGAAGAGAAGAGAAGAGGCTGTCCAGTGTCCACGATTGCACAACACAGCCAAGACTTGCGTTGAGAAGAAGCTTTCCCGACTCTGTCTGGAATTGCACTGCACAGCCACTATTTGGTTGCTTAAGTTATATTCTTTCTTTTATTAAAGTTTGAGTGGGCCATTCATAACATGGGCTGCTTGGTTATAATTTTTTTTCTTCAGTTTTTTAAAGTTTGAGTGGGCTTGTGCTGTGGGTTTTATATGGATTGGGTAGGCAAAAGTGTATACCAACACATGGAATGGATATCAATTACATAGCTTATATATAGGTTTTTTTTTTAGTGAAATATTTTTGGGTAGGCGCCTGTCCTGGCTTAAGATCTGCCCCTGCTTAGGTAGACATCGGATAGTTAACCTAATATTCGGTTTGGATTGGTTCGGTACGTCGGTAGTACAGTAATAAAAACATACTAATAAAAATACAATTTATAATACTTTCACATAACATAAGTTCTTGAACAAATACACCAAACTATCATTGTGAAATATAAAATCCAATAGTCTAATTCATCCAAGTATGAAATCAAATAACTTAGTTACTATATCATTCAATATATACTCAAGATGTATTGGGAGCCACTTGTGTTTGTTGTTTGAACATTTGAGTGTTATTTTTACTGAATTCTCTACATTTATGTAAATGATTTTGACATTTTTTTCGCAGTGGGTTCTTTAGTTTTTCATGCTGAATCCAACTATAGAAAGAACATAAAATTTGGAACAAAGGTTGAAACTAGAAAACATAGAAAATTCATAAATTCCTCTCTAACCAAAAAGTGCTACAGTACTGGGGTGATAAAGAAGTAATAGAATGGTGATAAAACAATGATATAATTGTGATAAAGAAGTGATACATCAGTGATAAAGGAGTGATACAAAATGCTAATTGTATTTATCTTTGGTTTCTTATTTTGTATTTAAATAATAGAATAAGTATAAATATCCGATCGGTACGGGTTTTCATCGGGTTAGGAATATTGTTTCTGTTAACCAAACCAAACATCTCGGTACGGATCGGATCGGAATAATTAAAATTTAAAAATAATTATTTAACCAAATCAAACCAAACCGTTGTTACGGTACGGTCGGTACATGGATAATTTGGATGAGATGCCCACCCCTATCTAATACTACACAAACCAAACATGAGAATGGGTAAAAATGGTATTTCCTAGTCATTTTCTACTATTCTCAAACATGGGAATGAAGTTCATTCCCATCTTATGGGATTATACATGAGAATTTTATTCCCATGAAGCTCAAAGATGTGTAGGAACATGTCTAAGAACTAAATAAAGCATTTAAGTGAACATGTTGACTGAGTGAACAAATTTAACACAAAATTTTAGCTTGCAGAAGCCTATTTTTATTTTCTTTGTAGCTTAACTGTCGATTTACCCTATGAACTTGTGTGCTAATTTCACCCTCAACTTTTTTTTGGAAAATTAAGTACATGAACTAATTTTTATTACCAATTCCCCCCACCGTCTAAATCTCAACATTTCATCATATATTCTGTTAAATCATTATAAAAATAATTTATTTATTTTTTGGAAAGATTGAAGAAAAAGAGAACAAAAACTAAAAACTAAAAAAATCCTAGCAGCCCAGAACCCAAGCCCCCCTACCATGTTTTCTTCTCCTCTCATTCCCCATGACCACAACCCACTGCAAGCCACCCTCCCCCCCCTCTTTTCTCCCTCTCTCTCTCTCTCCCTCTCTCTCTCTCTCCCTCTCTCTCTCTCTCTCTCTCTCCCTCTCTCTCTCTCTCCCTCTCTCTCTCTCTCCCTCTCTCTCTCTCTCCCTCTCTCTCTCTCTCCCTCTCTCTCTCTCTCCCTCTCTCTCTCTCTCTCTCTCCCTCTCTCTCTCTCTCTCTCTCTCTCTCTCTCTCTCTCAATATCTGTTTATTAAAATGATTTTATTTATTTATTTTAGATTTCATATTATTTTAACATATAAAATGACCAATGTGTCCTCATATTTAATGCCAAATTGGATGAAATGCTGAGATTTAGAAGATAAGGGGCTAATTGGCAATAAAATTGGTTCATGTACTTCATTTTCCAAAAAAAAAAAAAACAAAAGAGTTGAGGGTGCAAATTGAAAGTAGCATACAAGTTCAGGAGATAAATCGACAGTTAAACCGTAGATTAAATGCTTTTTTTTAGGTCAAAACAAGAAATTTTAGAAGAGGTGGATTGGTATATTGTTAACTAAAAATAATATTAGTAAAAATTAGGCAACCCAAGAACAACTACTAATGCATGTTTACTTACTATGAATGTGGGAGCCATGAATCTAGGAATTCAAATAAGGGATCAGATCAACTACTACCACCTAATTGATCACATTCTCGATTTTGAGGGTGTTCGATTACTGATTTTAAGGTGGAACCGACATAATTTTTTGACAGGACCTGCCTTGAATTCCTTGAAATTTGGGACAAATCCTGTGGTAATTCAGGCATCGTACTTATGTCGGGCCCACATACTAAAGAAACGAGACTTTCTACTGAAATTTCAGCAGAGTCCCATGAAAAATGGACATTTCCCAAAATTTTCAACTTGTTAAAAACACGTTTAAACATCCTAACAGGCAGCATGCACAAGATAAATTCATGCAGTTTACATATTAGGCCTCCGGCCTTACAATCAATCCTAACATGAGCAATATCAAAGCAGTCTAAAGAATTTCAGTCAACAGAATAGAAGCAAATGAAAATTAGTCCTACAGAAGCTTTAGGCTCGGAAGTAGAGATCTCGGCTCGGCCGCTCGATTCAAATCTATCTACTACCTGGGGCCGCAAAACAGAAAAGTGTGAGTGGATAAAAACAAGGTTTAGTTCACATTTGAAAACAACATAATATAACCGCA